TCGACTCAGGTCTTGATCCCAGGTCCTGGGATTGAGCCCCAGACCGGGCTCCCTGCTCATCGGGGAGTCTGTTTCTCCCTCTCCCTCTGCCCCTCCCCTTGCTCCTGCTCTCTCTCTCTCTCTCTCAGATAAATAAAATCTTTAAAAAATATTTCATATAAGTTACACATAAGATAAAAAAAAAAAAGCAGTATGTAGGGGCACCTGGGTAGTGCAGTCAATTAAGCATCCGACTCTTGGTTTAGGGTCAGGTCATGATCTTAGGGTCATGGGATCGAGCCCCACCTCAGGCTCTGCACTCAGCATGGCATCTGCTTGAGACTCTCTCCCTCTCCTTCTGTCCTTCCCCCCCTCAAATAAATAAATAAATCTTAAAAAAAAAAAAAAAGAGGTGTATAATATATGACTGGATTTAACTATCCAGTAAGTCCAAAAAGACTATCAAGAAATAGGTGACTTTTGGGCGCCTGGGTGGCTCAGTTGGTTAAGCGACTGCCTTCGGCTCGGGTCATGATCCTGGAGTCCCAGGATCGAGTCCCAGATCAGGCTCCCTGCTCAGCAGGGAGTCTGCTTCTCCCTCTGACCCTCCTCCCTCTCATGCTCTCTGTCTCTCATTGTCTCTCTCGCAAATAAAGTCTTAAAAAAAAAAAGAAATAGGTGACTTTACAGCAGAAGAATGAAACTGGACCATTTCCTTACACCACACACAAAAATAGACTCAAAATGGATGAAAGACCTAAATGTGAGACAGCAGTCCATCAAAATCCTAGAGGAGAACACAGGCAGCAACCTCTTCGACCTCAGCCGCAGCAACTTCTTCTTAGAAACATCACCAAAGGCAAGGGAAGCAAGAGCAAAAATAAACTATTGGGACTTCATCAAGATAAAAAGCTTTTGCACAGCAAAGGAAACAGTCAACAAAACCAAAAGACGACAGAATGGGAGAAGATTTTTGCAAATGACGTATCAGATAAAGGGCTAGTATCCAAAATCTATAAAGAACTGATCAAACTCAACACCCAAAGATCAAATAAGCCAATCAAGAAATGGGCAGAAGACACAAACAGACATTTCTGCAAAGAAGACATCCAAATGGCCAACAGACACATGAAAATGTGCTCAACATCGCTTGGCATCAGGGAAATACGAATCAAAACCTCAATGAGATACCACCTCACACCAGTCAGAATGGCTAAAATTAACAAGTCAGGAAACGACAGATGCTGGTTAGGATGCAGAGAAAGGGGAACCCTCCTAAACTGTTGGTGGGAATGCAAGCTGGTGTGCCACTCTGGAAAACAGTATGGAGGTTCCTCAAAAAGTTGAAAATAGAGCTACTGTATGACCCAGCAATTACACTACTGGGTATTTACCCCAAAGATACACATGTAGTGATCCAAAGGGGTATGTGCACCCCAATGTTTATAGCAACAATGTCTACAATAGCCAAACTATGGAAAGAGCCTAGATGTCCAATCAACAGATGAATGGATAAAGAAGATGTGGTATATATATACAATGGAATATTATGCAACCATCAAAAAAATGAAATCTTGCTATTTGCAACGACATGGATGGAACTAGAGGGTATTATGCTAAGCCAAATAAGTCAAAAAGAGAAAGAGAAGTATCATATGATCTCACTGATATGAGGAATTTGAGAAACAAGACAGAGGACCATAGGGGAAGGGAGGAAAAAATGAAACAAGATGAAACCAGAGAGGGAGACAAATCATAAGAGACTCTTAATCTCAGGAAACAAACTAAGGGTTGCTGGAGTGGAGGGGGGTGGGAGGGATGGAGTGGCTGGGTGATGGACACTGGGGAGGGTATGTGCTATGGTGAGCGCTGTGAATTGTGTAAGACTGATGAATCACAGACCTGTACCTGTGAAACAAATAATACATTATATGTTAAAAAAGAAGAAGAAGAAGAAGAAGAAGAAGAAGAAGAAGAAGAAGGAGAAGGAGAAGGAGAAGGAGAAGGAGAAGGAGAAGGAGAAGGAGAAGGAGAAGGAGGAGAAGGAGAAGAAGATAGTAGAAAGGAAAAATGAAGAGGGGGGATCAGAGTGGGAGACGAACCATGAGAGACTATGGACTCTGAGAAACAAACTGAGGGTTTTAGAGGGGAGGGGGGTGGGGGGATGGGTTAGGCCAGTGATGGGTATTAATGAGGTCACATATTGCATGGAGCACTGGGTGTTATATGCAAACAATGAATCATGGAACACTACATCAAAAACTAATGATGTAATGTATGGTGACTAACATAACATAATAAAATTAAATTAAAAAAAAAAGAAATAGGTGACTTTACAGATGGCTAACAAACACATGGAAAAATGCTCAACATAATTCATCATTAGGGAAATACAAATCAAAACCACAATGAGATACCACCTCACACTGGTCAGAATACCTAAAATTAACAACATAGGAAACAACAGGGTTGGTGAGGATGTGGAGAAAAGGGAACCCTCTTAACACTGTTGATGGGAATGCAAACTGGTGCAGCCACTCTGGAAAACAGTATGGAGGTTCCTCACAAAGTTAAAAATAGAGCTACCCTATGACCTGGCAATTGCACTACTAGGTGTTTACCCAAAGAACACAAAATACTGATTTGAAGGGGCACATGCACCCCAATATTTATAGCAGCATTATCAACAATAGCCAAATTATGAAAAGAGCCCAAAATGTCCATTAACTAATGAATGGATAAAGAAGATGTGGAACAGGGGCACCTGGGTGGCTCAGTTGGTTAAGCGTCTGCCTTCAGCTCAGATCATTATCCCAGGGTCCTGGGATCAAGCCCCACATCGGGCTCCCTGCTCAGTGGGAAGCCTGCTTCTCCCTCTCCCACTCCCCCTGCTTGTGTTCCCTCTCTCACTGTCTCTCTCTCTGTCAAATAAATAAATAAAATCTTTAAAAAAAAAAAAAAGATGTGGAACATATGCACAATGGAATATTACTTCGGCATAAAAAAAGAATGAGTCTTGCCATTTGCAGTGAGGTGGATGGAACTAGAGAAAGAGAGAGTAAAAGAAAGAAAGAAAGAAAGAAAGAAAGAAAGAAAGAAAGAAAGAAAGAAAGAAAGAAAGAAAGAAAGAAAGGAAGGAAGGAAGGAAGGAAGGAAGGAAGAAAAGAAAAGAAAGAAAGGAAGGAAGGAAAGAAAAGAAAGAAAGAAAGAAAGAAAGAAAGAAAGAAAGAAAGAAAGAAAGAAAGAAAGAAAGAAAGAGAAAGAAATGGGTGACTTTTTTTTATGTCCGTGGTTTTATTTTTACTTCATTTTGTAAATTTATAAATAGAAGCATGAATAAGCATTAAAATCAGACAAAAGCAAGTAAACAAAAATTAAATATTAACTACTTTATTCAAGAGTTAATGGCAGAATTTTATCAACTGCTAGAGCTAACAATGAATTTCAGTCAACACCAATTTCATTAGGGACCAACTGCCTCTGGAAATTGATGGGATTAAAGTGTTGTCATCATCGTCATTTTTGAGAGTTTAAATATTCAAGACATGAACTTATCCCTCACAGTTCTCAACACGTGGTGTAGAAAACTGGGGAGTTCACACTTGTTCTTTTCAAAGCATATTAAGTCTAACCTCATTCCAGCATGACCACATTCAGCTAACAGTTAAACAGCAAAAACGGTTACTGCATGAAGCAGGTCACTTTCCTTTTATGTAGGCACACAAACACGTGATAGCAAAGCAGAGCTGAAAAGTTGTCCTCCATCACGTAAGTGAAAATTATTCAAATGATAATACAATGAGCTATCCTGATGAAAGTATACAGCACAGATAAATCTGAAAGGACTCTTAATACTTGAGAACTAGATCTCATTGGTATATTTTGTGGATCTATTATAAACTAACTGAATAACACTGATGCTAGCTAATTACTGTCTCAGATTTCTCTTCTTTGAAATAACCATGGTAATTCTTGCTTACACAATGGAGGAAAGTACGCAATTTTTATGAAGATTCTAAAATCTAAAATACACAGTGCTGTAAGCATAAAGACATTCAGCATTTCCTTTCTGAGTAAAAAATATGTAATGCTTCTCTCATCAAACCTAGGAACACATTCTAAAGCCCATCATGTAAGCACTTGTGATCAATCTTGAAGTATTTTTGTATTTGTTTTACACAAAACAGTGTGACCTTTCATTCCCTCTCTGTGGTTTGCTTTAAACTGTTGTTCTTTTCTGAATAGTTGTGCTTTTTATTACATGCTGTCATTTAGATTCACTATGTCATCCCTATTATTAGAATTGTTTTGTTGTATACTTCACAATTCAAAAGGATAGTGATTATAAGAATACCTTATAATCAGCATAAAGTTTGCGAGCCATCATCTGAATTAATCCTCACACACACACAGAAAGAACTCACTTGACAAACACGCAGGGGGCAGCCCTGTGACATGAAAGAGTCTTTGAATGTGCCAGGGGTTTAACTTAAGTTTTCTTAAGGAATAATATTCTTTTTACGTCAAGAAGATTCATAAATGTTCAAAGATACAAAAAGATGTCAGTATAGGTAGAATGATGCAATGCAGAGAAAAAGAACCCAGAAAAAGGACCCAGAAAGTCACCCCTTCACTTTCAATCTGGGGGTGACTTTGTGTCTATAATGAGTCTCTTGCAGACAGCATATCACTGCTGAAAACATACAAAGCTTCTTTCAAAAGTCTTATTAATTAGATAAAAGACCTCAACCAAGCTAACAGACTTACATATTTAAAATTGGATGAATACAAACCCTACAATCATTGCAACAGAAAATAATATATTATTTATGAACCTCAAGAGATTAAATACCTCATCATTTCATCAGCAATCCTCATGAGTGGCAAAATAATTCTGACTTACTTAAGTGTATTCCGCACTGCTGAATGAAAAGGGAAGGGGTCATTTCAACAGAACTCAGGAGAGAAACCTGATAGTTACTCCACAAAATCACAGCTCCCAGGGACTACTCGACACTTACTTTAGCAGCACTAATGACGGTGGCAGTGTAAGACTGAATGTTGTCTCCACAGGCTCCACCACGGGACTGATGACATCGGATCAGCTGGAAAACGAGAGACAGAGAAGCCAGAGAGTCATTTCTATTAAATTGTTTAACTCTACAGGCTATTAAGACAGAGTTTATTTACCGTGCAGAATGATGGCGGTGGGTGGGAATGTTTGTACAAGCGTTTCAGACAAACAGCTAAAAGCTCTGCTGAGACACTCCCCCCCCCCCCCCCACTTTTTATAATCTACTGGTGCCACTCAGGCAATTTCATGCTCAAAATACAATTTTTTTTTTAAAGATTTTATTTATTTATTTGAGACAGAAAGAATGAGAGAGAGAGAGCACATGAGAGGGGGGAGGGTCAGAGGGAGAAGCAGGCTCCCCGCCGAGCAGGGAGCCCGATGCGGGACTCGATCCAGGGACTCCAGGATCATGACCTGAGCCGAAGGCAGTCGCTTAACCAACTGAGCCACCCAGGCACCCCTCAAAATACAATTTTTAATTACAAGGTGAATAGTTTTTAAGAATTCATAAACTCTGAAAGGGTAATATTGGGGATCTGGCCGCCTTTCCACAAATAAATTTTAAAAATATAATCAAAGGATTTAGACTTGACTTCCTAACATTAAATATTTAACATGCTAGCAAATTGGAGGCTCTGTCCTCTTAATTCCTCCATAAAGACTGTAAAAGAAAACCAAAAAATAAAAAATAAAAAAAGAGAGAGAGACAAAAGAATTTGTCATATTTCCATTTTCAATTAACAGTGGAAAAGTGGCACAAATTATGCCTAAATCAACCACAACACACAGTAGCTGTCCACTTCAGAGGGCTTATTAGCATTACCATTAGAATGAAAAAGACATGCCCTTACTCATGACTGACATAAATAAATCAACCTGTCAATTTTCAAAGTGAATCACTAGTTTGATATGCACAACTGTCTCATGTGCTAAGTAACACACCAGAATTAAATCCTCCACTGCTCCTATACTTCCTAAGTTTAGGTTTTTTTAAAAAAAAAAAAAAAAAAAAAAAACAACTCATTAGCCAGATTTTTACATTTAAAATTTTTTTAAAAATTTTATTTTAAAAATAAAATGACAATAATAGAGTACTAGAACAGCTCCACATCATGTTACGAATTATTTTAAAGGCCTACAGAATTCAGATAGAATCTACCTCTTTCAAAACATAAAAACAAAAAATGCTTATATAATTTAAAACATGACCATCTGATAAACATTAATACATAATTTTTTGTACTTTTATTCTAAAATCAAAATTTTGGAGGCTCCTGGGTGGCTCAGTCAGTTAAGTGTCTGCCTTCAGCTTGGGTCACGATCCTGGAGTCCCAGGATCAAGCCCCACATCAGGCTCCCTGCTCAGCGGGGAGCCTGCTTCTCCCTCTGACCCTTCACCATCTCATGCTCTCTCTCTCTCAAATAAATAAATAATCTTTAAAAAAAAAAAAAAAAGGAAGAAGAAAATCAAAATTTTCTTCATCACTGACACTATTAAAAAACAATCCCTCAAAGCAATAACAGTATGTTAAAATGGAATATCTTTAAAAGTCTGATATGAGATGTCAATCTGGCACATGAAGCAGATTTCAAGGTCAGTAGTGAGGAATTTTCCAAATGACAGGTGACTGCAAATGTGGTTTCACATAGGGGAAAACAGAATTTGAAAGTGATTGCTTTAACTAATAAAAATACCTCTCACTCATTCAACTCATTCACTCATTCATTCATTCATTTGTTCATTCATAAATACATATTCAAAGAATTATGAAAGTTATCCTCTACTGCCTCCTGCCACATGTGCAAGGAAAAACAGTATCTTAGAAACACTACCATTTTTTTCTCTGCTTCACGAATAATCAGGAATAAATGTATGAAAGCAAGCAATACTATCACTTTTTCAATTCAACTAAAACTGAGTCAGCATTTCTACACAAACATAACTAAGTCCGAAATTTTTGTTTAAACTTTAGGCTTGTTAGAAATTACATTTGCATCCCAATTCATGAAAATTAAAGATAAATCAGAAATTTCTGTAGTGCAAAACTCTATAAAATGGACTAATTTCCAGAAAATATAAGTTAAAAAGGCAACGTACAAAAGAGTACATGTGTTATATTATCTTCTGGAAAGAAAGGGAAATATAAATATATATATAACATAATGAAATATATAAGCATGTAAATAAAACATAAATATAAAAAGATTATTTAAAAATTATTTAAGGGGTACCTAGGTGGCTCATTCAGTTAAGCATCAGACTCTTGGTTTCAGCTCAGGTCATGATCTCAGGGTCCTGAGATCGAGCCCCGCATCAGGCTCTGTTCTCAGTGTGGAGTCTGCTTGTCCCTCCCCCTCTTCTCCTCCCCCTTCTCTCTCTCCCTCTCTCTCTCCCATAAATAAATAAAATCTTAAAAAATTATATATCAAATGAAAGCTGTAAAAACAATGAAGGAAGGCATAAAGGGACAGATAAAGGACAAACTAATCAAAATAATATACGGACACAGTATTTGACTGTACATCTTCAGTTTAGGCAGAATGGGAATGGACAGAATTGCAAGAAAATCCTGAACTCTTCTTATTTGGTTTGATATTTGTAGTGGTGTGAGCAAGCAATTCTGGGATTACTTTTTCCATTATAGGATTCAACAAATGAAGTAAATGTGCTGATTACAGAGTCTCCCATGCAAAACAAGGGACATATAAATAGGAGATGGAGGATGAAATGCAAGAATCCTATGGAAATACCAATGCGTACTCTTCATTTCCAAAATATGTGTGTAAGTGCACAAGTATGTGTTATATGTATATTTGCCAATTTATGTACATATAGAAGTATGTGTATGTATGTAATAATGCAGTGTTTCCAAACTTTGTCCACTGAAAGTGTCTAGAAGCAAAAACACCCCCATAACAATGAGCACACCTACTGGGCAAAGCTTAGTATCTAAAGCCATGGCCCGTTAAAAGAACAGGGGAATCAGAAGTAGCAGATTCCAGGGCTGAGACAGGACAGACACTAGATGAACCTGAACTTACGATAGCAAATAAGGAAATAGAAAAAAAGTTTAAGTAAAAAATTGATGAAGGCATGTCACTGTTACAAGAACCAGCCTAAAGGGCTCTCCTTGGTCAACTGTGGGACAGTTTGAAAGCCACAATAATTAAGGACAAAAACATTACAAACCATTAAGAAATAGGAACCCATGAGTCCATGGAAAATACAAACACAGAAAGACAGAGAAAGGAAAGTTCTTGATTACAACAGAAAGTCAAGTGCCTACTGGTTATGCGGAGAGTGAAGGTGAAAACCATTATTTTGCAATCCTCATAGTAAAGATTAGCTCAGGTAAGAATCATCAACGGATGCTAAAATTAGGCTAAAATTTTGATGAAAAGCAGGATATATTCATGGTCTTTCCAAACTACCTATTAGTTACAAGGGAAAAAATAGGGATTATTCACTTCAGAAACTGGACAAAATCAGTATCACCAATAAAGGACAAATATATATCATGTGCTTCCATCTATTATACTACGAGAAATACATATATATAACAATATTCTTGTAGTATTCTAGCCAAAAATATATAACCTGAATATAATCAAGAGAAAACATAAAAAAAAATCAAACTAAAAATCATTCTATTAAAAAAAGGGGGGAGAGGTAAAGGGTAGTGGTAGGGGGCTGTATTCTGCAAAATCATTGATGATGCAAAAGACAAAGAAAGACTGAAATCTTCCATATTAAAAGAATCTAAGGGGACATCCCAACAAAACATAATACCTGATCCTAGACTGGATCCTGCACTACAAAAAAAAAAAAAATTTCTACAAATGATATGATAGGGTTAACTGATAAAATTGGAATACGGTTGGTAAATTAGATAAAAGTATTTTTTGAAGATTAAATTGGCTGATAACTTAAGTATTTAGGGGTAATGTGATATATGCAACTTACTCTGAAATAATTAATAGGAGGTCAATTTGAGTAAAAGGTTCATGAGTGTGCTTTGTGTTATTTGTACTGTATTTATTCTTAGAACTTTTCTGTAACCTTTCCTAGTTAAAAGTACATCTAAAGAGAGGCACTGAAAAACAAACCCCTTAAAAATAGAGCTACCCTATGACCCAGCAATTGCACTACTGGATATTTACCCCAAAGATACAAATGTAGTGATCCGAAGGGGTACCTGCACCCCAATGTTTACAGCAGCAATGTCCACAATAACCAAACTATGGAAAGAACCCAGATGTCCATCAACAGATGAATGGATAAGGATGTGGTGCACACCACGGAATAGTACTCAACCATTAAAAAAAATGAAATCTTGCCATTTGCAACGACATGGATAGAACTAGAGGGTATTATGCTAAGCGAAATAAGTCAATCAGAGAAAGACAATTATCATATGACCTCACTCATTTGTGAAATTTAAGAAATAAAACAGAGGATCATAGGGGAAGAGAGGAAAAAATAAAACAAGATGAAATCAGAAAGGGAGACAAACCGTAAGAGACTCTTAATCATAGGAAACAAACTGAGGATTGCTGGAGGGGAGGGGCATGTGGGGATGGGGTAACTGGGTGATGGACATTAAGGAGGGTACTTGATGTAATGAGCACTGGGTATTATATACAACTGATGAATCACTGAACTCTACCTCTAAAACTAATAATACATTATATGTTAATTAATTGAATTTAAATTTTAAAAATTAATTAAAAAACACAATCAGTATATATGGCCTCTCGCTTAAAATTTTAGTCAAAGACATTTTCATTGAAAGAGATTGTTACTCCAAAATTCAATTAAATTTTGCAATTCCACACTCAGCCCAAAAACCAAAACAATCAGAAACTGTTACCAAAGCAATCAGAAACTGTTAATAAATACTAGCATTTATGTAAATACTATGGAAAGACATTTATCTGAAAATATTTCTTTCAAAGGATGGTACAGTAATCTGATTAGCAAACTCCTTGAGAACGCCATTACACTTTCTGGTCTCTGTATGTAATGCTAGATATTACTGACACTTATCTCAACAAAGGCAAGACAACTGGCACACACCCAGGTATGCATCTATGAAGGGAGTTCTTTCTGCTAGAAAACAATATATAACTATTTGCATCACACCTACAATTCTAAAGGGGTAGTTTCCCACATGTGAGAATACATCTACAAGAGCCAAAGGACAATTTACACATCTTCTTTTTGGATGTCTCCAGCACTCAAGGAAACATATTACAGATAAAAACATTAGAAGACACCATTACGTCACCACATTGAATTGTATGCCCCTTGTCTTGTTTGAAAAGAGTAATTTGAAAAGAGCTATTTTTATGAGATATACAGAAAATCAAGAGAAAGAACAGAATGGAGCATAAATACGGCATTCAGTAAGATGCAAAATACCTATCTGTAGCAAACAGAATTTCAGAAAAAGTATCAAGGAATTCATCAACAAAAATAACTTCCTTCAGTAGTTTCTTGATTTTGTGAATTCCAGAGACTAAAGATTTACATGCTCTGTGGTTTTTCCAAATAATTATTGTACTTGCCATATTGAGACTTGTGTCAAGAACTCTTCAATAAATATTATTTCCTATTATTCTTAATATATAATAGCTACATAAGGAAGCTAAAATGAAACAAAAAACAATAATCTTCTCTGAAGTCTAATATTTTTTAGATTTCATTCTATATTCACATGCAGAGTACAACATGGCATGAAAAAGATTTCATTTTTTCTTTCTGAAAATTCAAATTTGTCTTTGGCTTTAAATTGGACATAAAAAAAACTCTTCAATGTATAAATATAATATCTTCATTTACTATTATAACCTTAATAGACAAATGAAATTGATAAGTAACCAGAAAACTCAACAAAATGTGATCACCTGTGATTTAATTACTAAGACAAATGGCTGAACCCTTGTTTAGATTTAGCTGCAGACACATAAAGTCAATTAAATTATTCTATGGCTCGGTTCCCAATCTACCAATAAAAACAAAAGTCATTCCTGCCTTCTGATTTCTAGCTCCACAGAAACTACTAAGGTAATATCAATGCTGTGCCTAAGATTAATGGAATAAAGCTCTCTCTATAAATCTAAGCTTAGAAAATTAAGGTTGAGCCCAAATACTGATCCTAAGCAATAAGGGAGATAGGATAATTACTGGGTGCCCAATTAAAATCAAAACCAGGAGCACCTGAGTGGCTCAGTCGTTAAGCGTCTGCCTTCAGCTCAGGTTATGATCCCAGAGTCCTGGGATCGAGCCCCGTATCGGGCTCTCTGCTCAGCGGGAAGCCTGCTTCTCCCTCTCACACTCCACCTGCTTGTGTTCCCTCTCCCGCTGTCTCTCTCTGTCAAATAAATAAATAAAATCTTTAATAAAAATAAATAAAATCAAAACCAAACCAAAGAAAATAAACTAGTAAGTTAAATATTCATTATTGGTTGGTAATCACCTTTGGAAAATTCTTCAACACTTGCTCCATTACAAATAATCCAAACATGAGCCATGCCTTACCTTGTTTTCTGCATAAGCAAGCCATCGGCTCCCAAGAGCAATAGGATTCATGTTGGGCCCTGGACAAGGATAGCAGCCTGAAAAATTTGAAATGGCAATATTGAGATATTTAATAAATTTTCTGTTGGTGCATCATATTTTGATGCCATAAAAACAAAACAGCCAAATGGTTTTATTTTTTCAAGTCTCACATAAAATTCCCATAAAACCAGTCATTATTTTAATAGCTAAGTGAAGGTCTTTTTTTTCTCCTCTACAGTTTCCTTTTGGTTTGATGCTGTTCCAATAAGAAACAAATCTGGGAAGAACCGGTAATAACTTTTAGCAAAAATTGGGTATTTTATACAGTTATTCGTAGAACAAGAAAGAGAAGCTAAAAGGAAACAAAGTTTATAAGTCAAGCGATAGTATTGAGAGGAAAGAGAAAGGATACAATTGGTTCAGGAATTTAAAGGCAAAAGATAACAAAGACATACATCTAAAAGGAAATGATACACTGGTGGGAAGAGAAAAACAAGTACTGAAGTAAGGCACCAATGAAGCAAAGTAATTCACAGAGTGCCTCCATAGAAAGATGATGGAAAACTAATGTACATACTCCTATGTATTTACATTAAGCACTCAATTTCATTCTTCTTGTTTTCATTTCAGTCCAGCCAATAACAAGCTAGTAGGAAGGATTGTTTTGTGGTTCTCTCCTTTCAAGAAGAATAAATCAGTCATGACAGTGAACACCTTCGATGCATGGAAACTCCAATACAATCTTCCTGAACTCTACTAACCAAGGCACAACACGATTCAGTCAAGTGATGTCTGTCATCCTAGAGCCTCTCCCCTCCCCTCCTGGCAAAGCCAATAAGGTCTCTGAGTCTAATGCCCTCATCTGTCAACTACACAAAATAATATTCCACTGTCTCACAAAGCTTTAGAGGGACTACTCAAAGGCAACTACAGAATCAGACAACATAAAAAGCCTAACGTAAAGAACTGGTTTATCATTCCACAAGTATCTGGTTAATATTTTTACAAATGTTTTCTTCTAAAAGGTACACTAGAGGATCAAACTGAAGTATTTCGTCTAAAAGGTACACTAGAGGATCAAACTGATCTAGTTCACAGTTTATGTCCCAATTTGGAATCTAAGTTTATACAATCATGAGACAGACAAGATTCCATACAATAATATTTTCTTCCTGTAGCAAAATAGACAAATTACATGAATCATATGAGCATAATAGCAAAAAAATAGCATGACCTGAATTGTAAACTGCACACCTGACAATTCCCTACACAGCAGAAAGTCCCAGTCTATGTTACTGATCCTAAGAGGTATAGAGTTACCAATATATGATCATGTTTTATGCAAAAGCATACTTAATAATGAGAAAAAGAACAATAATGAACTACTTTAAGATTTACTTTCAATAACAAAAATAATTTATATGTTCTGTGATATATTATTTTTAAATTTATTTGGTCTTCCTCCCACTTGATTAAAGGGTATGTAAGAATTTGTTGTGTTCACTGCTGAATCTCCACTGCCTAGAATAATACCTGAACACAGCTTAATAAATATATTCGAACAAATTTGCACCTAAATGAAAGCATGTTTATATGACCCTGGCAAAAAAGTCATCTACATAAAAAAACTTTTCAAATACTCAAATAGTGTGCTGACCTAAAAGTCAGATCTTTCACTTTAAATTATTTTTTAAAAAATGGGAATCTTTTTAAAAAAAATAGGTATCTTTCTTAAACTTGTATCCCATGTTGGGTCACCTGGGTGGCTCAGACGGTTAAGCTTCTGCCTTCAGCTCAGGTCGTGATCTCAGGGTCCTGGGATCGAGCCCCGCATCAGGCTCCCTGCTCAGTGGGGAGTCTGCTTCTCTCTCCCTCTCCCTTCGTCCCTCCCCACTGCTCCTTCTCTCTCTCTCAAATAAATAAATGAAATCTTAAAAAAAATAAATAAAAAGCCATGTATCACATGTTTTCTGATTCAGAAAGCCTTGTGTGTAGCAATGTCTGGCATCCTAAAATGCTAGTGTCATGGTGTTCACGGGTACTAAAGAAGCACACACTGCTACTGCGTCCCTCACACGGTAGTTTTCTTTCTTTTTTTTTTTTTTATGGCTTTCCTACATTTTAATTTTATTTTTTAAGATAATACCATAGAGAAATGCAACTGTTTTTTTCCTTACAGCATTTTTTAATTTAAATTCAATTAGCCAACATGTAGTCCATCATTAGTTTTGATATAATGTTCAATGATTCATCAGTTGTGCATAACACCCACACAGTTTTCATTTGAGCTCCTTCAATCGCCATCTATTCTGAGTTTTCCTTTTTTTTTTTAAAGATCTTATTTATTTATTTATTTATTTGACAGAGAGAGACAAAGCGAGAGAGGGAACACAAGCAGGGGGAGTGAGAGAGGGAGAAGCAGGCTTCCTGACGAGCAGGGAGTCCGATGCGGGGCTCGATCCCAGGACCCTGGGACCATGACCTGAGCCGAAGGCAGACGCTTAACCAACTAAGCCACCCAGGTGCCCCAAGTCTTCCTTTTTAAAGAAGATAAAGAACTTCTAAAGAAGATAATGGCCCTAAGAAAAAGTCCGTATGTCATATGAAATACAAGGTATGAGCTTTCTAATTTTTTACTCATTTTTTAAAAAAAAAAAACCTTTTTGTTTATTTCAGGGTTTAAAGGGTTCTGTTTGGGATGTTTTGGGTTTTGGGGAAAACTGACCTCTAGGTAACTTCAATATTACTATACCCACTGATGCACATTATGGACACATATTATGGACACATACAAAGGATAAAGGCACACTTAAATAGTGCAAAGACAATACACTCCAACATATGCTGTACAGTATTTACATAGATTTTATTATTACACTCTCACTGAGTAACCTAATTCATACAAATATTCCATAGATATTTTCAGAGCTGGAGAAATGCATATAAATATGGCCTATAAGAAAACTTCGCCCTTTAAATATTTTTTTGGAAAATTTCCCCCTTTTAAAATGTCATGAAAAAAAGAACCAAATGAAAAACAGAAATAAATACTTGTGAACTGCAGCATTACATTAGAGGTAACTAATCTCCTAAACTTTAAAGTCAATATAATCTCTCAATCAATTCTGGTATTCATCTCATCTCAATAGATCTTAATAAGTATATTCTCCATTCCAAATACTAGAAGATAATACTAGAAGATACTAAGGAAAAATGTAGTTCACAATTCATTTCACTTTTTGAGTCTATGTTTTTCGAAACTCAGTGGACCTCAAGAATTATAGTGTATTGGAATGAAAGCAAATTGTTTTTCTGCTCTCCAAAAAACATTTTACAGCTGGAATCAGCAGACCATCAGCCACTCAGCACTATCCCAACTTTATAAGCATGACTCCTTTAAAAATTAACCATTGCCTCCAGCTAAACTTTGAAAACAAGGAGGGGGGAAAAAACCCAAATCCCTATAATACTAGGACTTAATTCTAACATGTTTACAATGTTTGTGAACAAAGTAAGAGAGGTGGATATTAAAAAACAAAACAGAACAAAAAAACCCCTGAGATTTCCAAATTTAAATACAGGTAAGATCCAAGAATGGCACACTCAAGGAAGATTCCTCCCTTACCACAGAAACATTTTAAAAGGCACAAGAGACTGATGCAATTTTTGATGGCATCCTCCCTTAATGTTGGTCCCTAGCGGGGAGGTGACCTACCCTATTTTGAAAAACAAAGGATTCAACTACTCTCTGTAATACTCTGCCTAATTTTTCTTGGTAAAGATGATTCAAAAGGTTTCAGACTGTTTTGAAAAAACAGATGTCTATATTTATGGTCATCTGACTCTCAAAAAGGGTAGCAAGACAAGACAATGAAGAAAGAATAGTCTTGTCAACAAATGATGATGGGTCAACTGCATATCCATATGCTAAAGAATATAACCCTGACCTCACACTGCATACAAAAATTAACTTGAAATGAAATCAGACTTAAATGAAAAAGTTAAAAGTCCTGCTCTCTTCCCCAGCACCACCTGCAGAGGTGGCAGCCATTTTCTACTTGGCAACATGGCCACCTTCAGACCTCTGGGGAAGCCCAATTATCGTTAAAAAGAGGACCAAGCAGTTCATCGGCACCAGTCAGACCAATATGTCAAAATTAAACTCAACTGGTGGAAACCCAGAGGCACTGACAACAGGGTGCACAGAAGATTCAAGGGCCAGATCTTGATGCCCAACAATGATAATGCAAGCAACAGGAAAACAAAGTACATGCTGCCCCAGTGTCTTCTGAAGTTCCTAGTCCACAATGTCAAGTGCAACAAACCTTACTGTGCAGAGATTGTTCACAACGTCTCCTCCAAGAACTACAAAGCCCCAGGGAAAGAGCAGCCCAGCTGGCCATCAGAGTCACCAATCCCAATGCCATGCTGCGCAGCCAAGAAAATGGACAGACAGCTTATGTGCACATTGTATTTGTATTAAAAATAAATAAATAAATAAAACTATCAAAAAATGTTAAAGTACTAACCTCTTGGAACAAAACATAGTGGTAAATCTTCATACCCTGAGATTAAGCAATGCTTCCTTAGATATGACACCAAAAGTGTAAGTGATAAAAGAAAAAATAGATAGGGGCACCTCGATGGCTCAGTGGGTTAAGTGGCTGCCTTCAGCTCAGGTCATGATCCCAAAGTCCTGGGATCGAGCCCTGCTTGGGGCTCCCTGCTCAGAGGCGAGTCTGCTTCTCCCTCTCCCTCTGCCCCTCCCCCCCATTCCTGCTCTCTCTCTCTCTCTCTTTCTCTCTCAAATAAATAAAATCTTTAAAAAAAAAGAAAATAGATAAATTGGACTTTGTAAAACTAACACGTTTGTGCTTCAAAGGACATAACTAAGAAAGAAAAAAACAGAATGGAGTTTTATAAAACATATGTCTGATAACTGACTTGTATCCAAAATATAAACAGAACTATTACAACTCAAAAAAGAAAACACAAATAACTCATAAATTTTAACAAAGAAGATATATGCTAGTGAATGAACACGTGAAAACATGCT